TGATTCAAACCTCTCTTTTCGTATATAACCAAATATTTGTTTTTGCCTAAATGATGAGTTTATTACCCAATTCTAGGAGTTAGTAGGAATAAATTCATATGGTAAATCATTGTGGTCAAAACTTGTGAATAAGATGTTAAAGAAAACAAAATTGGCACAAAACCCAACATGAACAGCTGATACAAACATTAATATAGCACTATCCAGACTATTGCCCAGCAAAATGGTTTTATCTTAAATCTTAAGATGGATATGAAATTACAAATGTTACAAACCAGATTGATGTGTGTCCTCCAGTGTCTTAATTGTATGAAACAGTGACAATACTTTTATAATGTTACTGAAAAGGGAACATTGGAGTGAAATCGACTTTTCTTATTTTTTTCTCATTATATTGAATTGTAAAATGGACCGTTTTATAATTTCAAATGTGGAACAGTGCAGTGACATGGTTCCTTTTTCACTGACATTTAAACACAGTATTTCATATATACTGATTATTGACTTGGTAGGCGCTTGTTTTACACTTTGTGATTTCTGTCTTGTGATGTTATGAGTAATGTTTTAATAGTTGCATTATTACCAAGACTAAGTCGATTTTAAGGACCTCAGGAGAAAAGCTTCTTCAAGGCTGTGGCTCATGGGGATCCTGTTAAAGTAAAATACGCTGAACTAAATTTCCTCACCTCTCTATGGCAACGGAGTAAACCCTTTTCACATGTGAAGGCCACAGGAAGCGAATGAAAGCTTGCAAGTGGACATTGTGTCAGGTTATTTTGTCAGATAAAACTTTCCGAGGTTCAGAATGAACCTTGAAGTTCATCACGTTTTTATTAGTTGAAGATCATTGAACGCTGCCTGTGAAGGATTACTGTGTGTGTAAACAGTTAATGGGATATTAACAGGATTTGTTTTTATGCGTAATCATAAATCACCATTAAGTATGGCTTCAGCTGTGTTATCATCCATTCATACATAAATGAATAAAGGAGAAGTTATAAATGTTGACAGAAGATATAACAATGATAACATAATGGATTATATTACAATATGATCATTTGTAGTATAAACAGTTTATTAAGTGTTTGTATTTAAATGCTATCATGACGGGGTTAAAGTTATGTGTGACTTGTTGTTTTATTTCTTTGTAAATTGAATATCTTTGTATACTGGTATATTGTTGGTCACTGTGAAGACATATCCTTGGGCTCTGTGGGCATTTCCCTCTATTTTACAGACTAAAATATTGATGTATAAATTGAAATAATTGGCATATGAGTCACAAGCTGCAGAACTAGCTATCAATGAACTGCATTGTAAATTGATCTGCTGTATGTCCATTGCATTGTAAATGGATCTGCTGTATGTCCAGACCTTAAATCTAACCCATGCAGGTGTTATTGGATAAAGAATATACAGTGTGCACCTTAATGCAGTACAGAGGACCTGAACATGTGATCCTGATCCATCGGTCTTGTCTGCTGGACCCAGCCTTAATTATCGCTGAGAGAGGGGTTTTTGTGATCCTGACCTGCTTCTTTATTTCATTCCCTTGGTAACCTTGCCCTCTATAGTAGCAGCACATTCTTGAGTATTGATTGGCTGAGGGACACACGTAAGCACACACACACACACACACACACACACACACACACACACCATGCATCTGTTCTTGACCTCTGATGCTTAAGGTTTGTAGAAGTTAATAAAAATCTAATTATTCAATCAAACTGCTCCTACAAGCAATTTTCTTTGAGACTGTTTTGTCTCATTTCAAGTGAAGAGCTCAGTGCAGCCAGAGTCAGGCCGGTGGGATGGGAGCGTTCATTAGAGTCTGATGGTGTTTTAGATTAGCAGAAATGGCCCAAGACAGAAACAGCTGCTCGTCCTTGATAATCATCTCACTTCTGTGGGTTTGTCCCCAGTTGACTCTCTCTGCAAAACAGGAATATATCAGAGAAATTTAAACACACTGGGTCTGCACATACAGTATCTTCAATATGTTGGCAGTTTTGGGCCTTTGCTGTTCATGCACACTTATTAGTTAGATGTAATTAGGCTTTGACTGTGGCAACGCTGAAAGTCCATGAATGCGTGAAATACTATGATTGATATCTGGCCATATAGTGTATGTGATCCTGTGTGTAAATAAAGTCATTAATCAAAGTGCTGACGTGAGTAGGAAATTACAGTAAAAGCCAGTGAAAAGGGGAAAAGCTCATGGTGTTGAGTTTCACGTATCTGCTGAGGATAAGTTTGACCTCACAGTTCTGACAACTATCAGGCTACTCTACACCTCTGAACAGCATCGATGTTTCCTCAACGAGTGGCTCTGTCAGCCCGCTGCTGAGTCATGATGACATTGAGAATGTCCTTTAATAAGTGTGTTGCGGCTGCTTTATTACTGGTCTTCATCTCAGGCACCGAGAGCAACTCGTTAAAGAAAAAAATTAATTCTGACCCAAACCTTTACTCCAGTTGGGTCATTTGAAAAAAATGAAAGTGTGTATTAAATACACAAAACCCTCTTCACATGGCGGTGGTGGAATTAATTTCCCACACTGCTGTCGTCTTTATACCCTAAGGGTCCTTGCCTAACTGCTAGTAAGCTCAGGAATTCCCATCACTTCTGTCGATATCTGGGAAATGGTGCACAAAACAAGGCGACTTTCTTCAATATGAATGCATTCACTCAAATCTATAATTGATTGAAGCTCTGAAGCATGCTTTTGTCTCCCAAGATGGTCAGCAGGATCAGATGTAATGAGATGCCTGAAGGTTTTTGCAGAGGTTTCCTTTACTGCTTGAAACAGCTACTGCATGAAAAGAAAAAATCCTCCCTCTCCTCAAACCAGCAGGGAGGCAGATCTGTCAACGTTTTCTTAATATGTAATTTGTATTTTAAATGCGAAGACAAAAAGTACAAAATTACAATTTTATTATATCACAACCTTCAAAATAAATCAACATGACTCTGATCCGCTTATCCTGTTACTTGCTGTAGGCAGAGGAAATCTTTAATTCATAATCATACACCATTTCAGTAAAATAATATTTATTCTCTCAGCAATCTCATTGGTATATATTGGCAGATGATGCTTTCACTGCAAATGTATTTGACTATTTATGTTCAAAGTCTATTTGTAGGCCTAGAAATATATATTGAGCATCATTCATTTCAAGAAAATATGTTCGTTATAGAGATGAAAATCAAAGATAAGGTTGTTTTCTTATGAAAGAGCTCGAAAAGAAAAATGTTTATCATTCCTGCACCTGTCGGGCCTTATGTTTCTTTATGCCGCACTTACCAAGACGTCTCTGTAAAGATTGACAGACAGAATATAACTTTGGTGAGTTAAAAAAGAGAGTGTCAGCCCCCACCCCCGTTATACCAGAGTATTCCAAGTAACAAAGCCGGCAGCAGTGGAGGCTGTCTGTCTCCCTACCAACTGTCTTTGTCTTGCTCAGATAGGAAAGAATCACAGTGATAGATAATGACTTGAGAATGTCCTTTGGCCAAGGTTGCCTGGCACTGAGGATTTTTGTTTCTGTCTTTTCAAGGACCAGGAGGGGAAAGCAAAATGGAAAAAATGGAGAGGTAGAGTCTTGTGGCTGTGAGAAGAAAATGGAGCAGGGTAGTAGAGTGTTTGACAGAGTGAACAGGAGCCATGTTGGAGATTAAGTGAGACCGGCTTGTCCTGGGCTGACACCAGACATATCACACAAGGCCAGGTGACGATTCGATGCTTGGAAAGGAAAGATAAGAATGAAAAATCAGTTGTTAGACGAGTCAGGTCGCATAAAGGGCTTTTTGTTTGAAACAATTCAAACGTCACTTCCCTCCCAGTGGCTGTTAACTATCACATCGCAGTCACACCGCTCACTGTCACTCTGACTGCCTCAAACGCGAGTGGAGGCCGTGAAATGATCAACCCTGGAATTTGTGACACTTACAATCTTACTTTGTTTCTCTTCTTCATTTCTTAAACTCTGACATGACAGCACCGACTCAGCCCGAGATGATTGAGATGACGTATCAAAAAGCAAAAGCTTGCATCATAAATACTTTATTGGCTGGATGAAATGCTGAAGGTGACAAGCCTAAAGTCCCTCTCTGAATACAAATTGATGTACAGTCAAGCTGGAGGAGGAACCTGAGTGGAGAATTCTGTTTTTTAATGCATGAAGGCTCTCTGCAGACAAATGCGAGTGATATGGTAATCTCTCTCTTGGCTTGTGCTGCTGCACTGCAGGCAGAGCTGAGACATGTCAATGAGCTTGTTTTGAATTTTTGGGGACAAGTGAGATACTGAGGGTCTCTGACCTTGGCAGTCACCTCTGTCTGTTGTGAGGGAAAAAAACATTTGCAGTAAAAATAGTCAAGTGAATTACAAATCCTCACCCTCATCCATCTTCATCAGATCAGCGTGTTTGACTGCAAAAAACATATGTTAAAATGTGCTCTAATTATTTGGCTGCATTAATCACCTTATTTTCTCCCACACAAACTCTTCCATGTTCTTTGTTTTGCACGGATAAATTCCAAAGCTGTGTCAAAACATGATTAATTTTTCATTATGCTCCCCTTTACACTTTGTTCTTCTTCTTTAGCTACAATGAAGCAGTGAAATATTAATGACAGGACACACATTCATTGTCATAGGTTTCTCCAGTGCTGTTTTTCTGGTGCCTCTCCTGCTGCTTATGTTTCTTTCCTGTTGTTTCATAATCAGATCAGCGTACATATCTCACCCAAAGCTGCCAAGTGTAAATGAGATTATGAATGTATGACTGCTTCTCCAGTGTGCTGAGGAATGTTACCTTCATCCTTCTCGAATCCTGACTAGAAGCAGATGATAAACATCCAGAAATGAATTCGAAACAACCACACTCCTGGCAGCTTTTTCAGTTGCCTCCACAGGGTCCCAGGCCTAATGAAAAGGCTAAACATGTCTTTATTCTATAGGTGCTGTATTTCCTGTGACACCCACGGGAGTCATCTGCGTCTGCATTGACCCTCTCGCTGCGAGCCGTTCAGCATGCTGATGTGAAACCGGCAATGGAGACCAGGGCTTGATATCCGGTGAGTGTGTTGTATTTTCCAAGGCGCTGCATAGTGAGCGTGAGCATCTGCAGCTCCGCCTTCAGCTGGGGTGACTTTAACTATACTGAAAATGTTGTGTTAGCAGTGGTGCATCAGCAGATTGAAGACGCAGTACTGTGTAGATCACCGGTGGGAATTCATTACAGAAAAGACAATGAAACTACAGGTGCAGAACAGAACTGGGTCAAATTCTTTTTCTTCTTCTTTTCAGCAGCATTTGTTTTACACAGTTTAAACAACCATATGGGCGGAGTGTGTTTAATCATAATCAGCTTTGTTGGCCAGGTATGTTCAGGCATAGAGGGAAGTTGGAACGGGTTGTGAGTGGCTGCTTTCACACACTTCTGTCAACAAGCATATAGAAAGATGCACAAATACATGCATGTTAACAAAGCATTAATCAAAACAGAGATAAGCAAACATAAACATATGGCTATTGAACATGTTGAACACACAGGCAGCTCCTGTCAGTATGAAAATATTGATATAGATACAGAAATAAATGCACAACAACATATAATGTCTGCAGGGTTATAAAGTGTAAGAGTGTGTGGGAGTATGTCTCTTTATATGCAAATAGTAGGTTGATCTTAGACAGAACGTTGAGTCTGCTTTGGACATTATAGATTATATGAGCAAGTTGTACATCAAACAGTCATATACTGTATAAAGATCTTACAGAGTTATGGTCCTGGGATTGTTTAAGATTCAGATAAAACATTCATGATCACACCATAGATTGTATATAAAGATGGACAACACTTCCTCCCACTATTTAGAAATCAAGCTAAAATATTCTTGATAAAAACGCTGTCATCTTGCACATTTGGAGCCCGAGTAGGCGCAGTAGCGATAGAGGGATGGAGCTGCGCTATTGAGGTCCCACTAATATACACCCTTGATCAATCGTGAGTCAGCCTTAGCTGTCAATCATGACGTTATTAAACCCGAACCTGATGAACATGCATCAGTGTGATAAACACTACCTGAAATGACAGAAATCATCTGAATCTACACAAAAAAATTCTTCAACATGTTCAACACTTCTTAGTTTGGCCCATTTCTCATCACTAACAAAGGGTCTCTGTCCCATACTGCAGTCAGCCACCAGGTAGCTTCTGGCTACACTTTTGGGGAGCTGCCTTCTTGTCCATCTTTACATATAGTCTATGGTTGTATGTCCAGCTCGTCCAGATAATGTCTGGTGTTCAGGGTTGCAGCATTCATGTGACAAACAAGTTGTTTTCAGACATGACCTGCAGGTAAAGTCCGGAGTTAACCCTGAGTTCGGTTTTCATACATGCACAACACAGCGGGAGGTTTTGTGCACAGACGCATCCACAGCAGCAACCAATCCTCAGATAATCTGGAACCTCAAGCATTTGTGTTCACACCTGCACCTCCTCCTGAGAAAATATGGGTATCTGCAGAGTTGAATGAAAGCAGCTATAGAGCACAGCCTTGGTCTGGGTATCAAACTGCTGCTCTGCCTCTCTGCCACTCACTGAGCACTGTAGAAGCACAGAGAGGTGTGCCTCTTGCTCTCAGGGCATGAGAGAGTCCACAGAGTCACTAGATTTGTCTGTAGATGCCTTTAGAGAAAAGAAGTCACAAAAGGAGTCTGACAATAAAATATTGTTTGTTCCAATTCATTGTGAAAGAGAGATAGCTAATGAGGAAACTCCCAAAACTATTCCAGTCAAACAATGGAGTAACTTCAGTCAGTCATGCAGTACTCAGCCAACCAATGACGATTAACTGAACTGAACTCACTTGCTCACTCTGGGATGTAGAAGTGAACTGGCCACAATCTAGATAAAATGATCCTGCAGACTTCCTCTCAGGCTACATCCAACCTCCGCCAGTGACGTAAGGGCACATATATCTATCTTGACTGAAAGAGAAGACGGGGCAAAATGAGGCCACAATGCACTCTTCTCCACCACTCGTTACTGCACGTTAAACTTATTGCTTTGAGCCTGTCGACATTTTCATCATCTCTTCTACTTTGTCATCATAGCTAAGACAGTGAGAAGATACTGTTGAGAGATTTCACCAAGTAAAATGCCTAATTACGCACTTCTGTGCTTTGGGGGCACAAAGCGCTGTGTAGTACGTACCAATGCAGAGTTGGGTCCGAGGTGTAATTTCATTGGCTCACTTTAATGAAATCGGGAGATGCCCAAGTCCTGATCTTCTCAGTTCTCGTCCTGTTTGGTGATTCGTATCTGTCAACTGTCAAATATGTTGGCTGCTCTATGAATAATTACTCTTTTTCCTAAACCACTTAACAATTTTGCTTCTTTCTACTGACTACATCTCTAACTAACCGGAAAGGACCCATAAAACTCTCCCCAAAACACTGCAGCAGTACATAAACACAGTTTCATGTTTCAATTGCACATCATATAGCACAAAACTATTAATTAAAACCTGGTACACGAGAGGACAGAGTTAATGATCTGTGCTCTGTCTTCAGAGAGCAGTCAGCCGAGAATAATTGTGTGTATCTGAAGTGCAGTAGGTACCTGTATCCCCCTAACATCTGTCTCGTGTGCTCTGAGTAGGTTTGCATCCTGAAAATGTCACCGCTTCACATCTAAGCACTATATTGGATGCAGCATGCAGCCTGAAAGTGTACATTGCTGAGGGAGTAGTTTTCGGCTGGATAATTCCCCTGGGGTGGGTTCAGTAAGGAGGGGTGTGGGAGGTTGGGTTATTTTGCCTACCTCTGACCCTCTGTGGTCAGACCCCTGTGGTTTCTGCAGTGAGGGGGGGATCACCCAGTTCTGAGAACAAAGAAATATGATGGCTCCCACTTGTCCTCTGCTGGTTCAAAGGGAATGGCAGGGCAATGCTAATTAGCCAGCTTGTGCTACTTCGTGGAACATAACTGCTGTTCCCTTCAGTGTTCCCCCTCCCCCTCATCGTGCGTCTAACAAGCAGCATCTCCACCAGTCATGGACCCTGCATAACTCTGAATATTTTCTGCACTGTGAGTCACCCCGTTCCATTTCTGTCCTAAAACAGACAAATAATTCCTGTAGTTAAATTAATCTGTTCTAAGAGAATTGAATTCACCCATCTCATCAAATTGAAGCAATTTGTGTTGGGAAAGTACGGCAATTTTGGCCCATATGTATTCATTCGGCAGCCTTACCCAGCTGTTGTTTGAGTATAGTTTAATCCTGGTTGTCAAGTTTGAGGGCGATAAGAGGCGTAACAACAGGATTCCCCACCAGTTCATCTGGGATCGCACAAAATTATGGTACTACAAGTGAAAAAATGTCGTCTGTAAGTACGTAGTGAATACATGTTTCTAATCAGGGATTGAGGGGAGAGTGAGGAGGAGGTCAAGTTATTACCCTCACATATTCCGAATTCCAGTGGCGGCGCTGTGCTCGTATGCCTTCCCTCCGCTGTCTCGTGTTCTGCTCCTCTTGTCAAAGTGAATGTAAGGAGTCTTGCAGTCAGTGTTTCCTGGAATACCAAGTGTTGGAGGCAGTGACAGGTGGTGTGGAGCAGCGGCTCATGGTTTTCTTAATGTTTACATCACATGTTGCCATGTTCAGATCTCCGTGCTCGATTCTGTCGCTCTAATCAGCCACATAAATAAGCTGTACATGCCATATCATCTGCATGTCTGTGACTAATAGGGTTTTCTTTTTGTGAATTTGAAATGGCTGAAGCCATTTCAAATAAAAGTGGAGGCAAATATGGTAAAATCAAACACACCTGCGTGCGTGCGAGCACAAGTAAGATACAATAGATGCGTCGCTTCAGGGGAGTCGTGCCAGCGTCTCGCTGCCTTCTCTCTCCATCTCTCTCTCTTTTTCTTTCCCCCAGTCAGATCTCTTTTTGTTAGTGCAGATGCTCTCAGGGTTGGCAAGACATTGAAGACTGAGTCACTTAAACAGACACATCTTGACACACAGCTGACTCACAGTCAGTTATTTTCCTCATAAATCATATTCTTTTGAGCTTGTTTGTGTTTGTGTGTGTGTGTGTGTGTGCGTGCGTGCGTGTGTGCGTGTGCTTGTGTGTGCGAGGAGGGAGGGTGATGTTTGAACTTCACTGAGCCACATGTTTCACTCGGAGCCTCCTCATATGCAGCATCGCATGATTAAAAATTCACAGGTATGTTTACTGACAGATGGAGGTGGAACCTTATTTCATAAGCATCTTCATTAGTTACAAGCAACATAACTGAGTTTAAGAATCCATTTACATTAATGGGCAAGAGCTACACTGTTTGTGAGCGTAAATAAGCTTCTCTCCCACAGCAGCAAAACAGAGAACCTCTGATCTGTGTTGTCATGCATTTGTAAAGCCTGGAGCTCAGTCATTCAAAATAAAAGGTGCATTACATTTCCGTGTTACTTTTACCGCAGTGCTGAGAGGCTCTTAACCTAAAAAGGTATCCGTAACCACAGACAATTTTTTTCTGCTCATGCATTTCTTCTGTATAAATGTATCATTTCATTCACTTTTGCAGAAGTCAGCGGGGCATTGAAAATTACAGAGCAGGACAAATGTATCCTACTCATTTGTGGCAAACAGAGACAGAAGTTAGTGAACTGTAGAGACGCAGGATAAAAGTTCAACAACACAGACAGATGTCTGCTCAACCATAAGGAATAACTAAGTCAGCACTGAAATTAAATTGTTCTCCCTAAGGCGACACCAAACCCAAAGTATATTTACACTAGGCTCCCACTAATTATGCTCTGTTATGTATATTGTATGAATATTGTATGGTTGTTGTATGTTTGGACTCATGAGTATCATTTTTGAAGCAATGGTGCACTCACTGGAGTTTAATTAATGAATAATATATTGTGCTTTTTCAAGAGAATCAAAGCTTTTCTCCCAAAGTGGTAAAACGAATTCCCATTGAATTATATGATCTTTTATTCGAATAAATAAGGTTGTTTATTTAAAGTGATATTTTTAAATAAATACCATAGCTCAAGGGTAAG